TAATTACAATTTTGATACATTGCTGCAAAGTTGACAGGTCGAAATTTGGCTGAAATGGCGTTTTTCAATAAAAGTGGCCAAAATTCAAATTTTGGACAAAAAAATATGCAAATGAAGCCATAAAAAGTAATTTAGTCTTTATTCTACCTATTCTGAAAATTTCATACAAAATCATTCACAACTTTTTGAAAAATATCAATTTTAAAAAATAAATGACCTTACCAGACAGGACTCACTCCACTAATTCATTTGCCATCTCTTCCCATGTTAAAACACGAAATTCAACCTTCTATAACTTTTTCCAGAAATCTCGTTGAAAGCTTTCCAATATGTCGAATGAAAGCCTGACCAATTCTCAATGTCTCCTAAAAAATTCATTATATGATGACCATGAAAATTTTGAGCTACTAAAATTGAAAGTAGACTACTACCGGTTATACTCATCCGCTAGAGTTTGGCACTTCACAAAACGACTATTTTTAGAATTAGCCTTCCGCCTTTAAGTCTCTCATCATCTCACCAAATCTGAAAGATAATGCAATTTCAGACATCAAATTCCAAATCTAGACCAAATTTTACCCAAAAATAGGCAGGCAAAAACCCCAAAAGGGAGAGAGAAAGAAGATTTCTAAAAATAGCCTGGACTACATTCCTATACAATCATTTGCATAAAATGTTTTAGTGGAGTGAGTCCTATAACCTCTGGGGTAGGTTGAATTAAACGACCACCTTCTGCCATTATAATTAAAACCTAAACAGAAATGCAAATTGACAAATTAATGACCAAATAAATATAAGTGCCATAGTTAGGAAGCATATACTAAAACAGTAATAAATCAATATACCAGTTAAATCAAATTCAAAATGATAAAATTTAAGCAACTTGTGTCTGAAACATAATTACAACATAATAATTGAAGTTGATAAGAAATAATATACCATTCTTCCTAAAATAAAATTAAAGGAAGGAAGAAAATAGATCAAGATTTATAGATTGTGAATGGCAGATGTTGGAAGTGGATTAGTACAAACAATAAACAAGATGCAGTTCACACTTGATAATAGTGAAAAATAATGATAATATATTTCGATTAAGATGCTGGATAGTGGTTTCCGAGAGAAATCTAAGGAATAAGCTTAAACTAAATACGTTTATTACCATTCACAAAACAAACCCAACATTTGACAAGACATTACGAAACATTTACAAATAAACGTTCCCAGCTTACGAGTCTCTTACCCTTCTTTAGAACAGGTTCACTACTAGAGCGCGGAACGTTGAAATTCACCAATCCCGGGGATAAATTTAGACCACAAGCCGGATAGACGGATCGTTACGGACTAACCATCTGTACACAATTAAATCTGCGAGCAGAGCTTACACAGCCAAACTCACCAAGTTCCAGTCCACGACCGACTGACTAAACAACGCTTAAGTCACTCCTTTTATATTTAACGAAGTCGCGCACTGCAGGTGCAAAGCGAGGCATTTTTTCCCATTGGACCACGTTTCATAACAATTGTTGATTGGCCAAAGTATCATGCACGGAATAGACATACAATTATATAACATAAATACACAAATCCCCTACACTAAGTTACCACTACAATTATCATAATATGACAACCAATATATTAGTTCAAAAGACCTCTACAAATACGTACATTTATAACAAAAATTACTAAATCAAAAGACACATAATATAACACATAGGACAAGTCAAGTCAACACAACACAAAACCGGGTAGCACACACTTTCACACACTATAGAGTATGCGTATAACTTGGTACCAATAATACTTCGTTGAAAATAAAGTTGAAAACAAGTTGATTGTAGAAATCCACGTTGGGCACCAATTTGTAACAGTGTTTTTAAAGGTGCAACACCAATGAAACTCCGGGTCAGGTTTCGATATATTTTATTGATAATCTTAACAAATAACTCCTATAAAATAGGGGTTATTTTAAACATGTACAAAATTCGGTGTGAGCTAAACAACTATGTAGCCTAAGATTACAACAAAGATGACAACATTCAAACATCCAATATATACAAAATGGCGGATTTCAGTCAGTACCAAAGGTCACAATTTTTTATCTGCGGAATTTCCTTATAAATCCCCAGCTTTAATCGGAATTCCAAGTGTCGTCCGCTAGAATGTAATCCAACGAATGAAGTCACGTGATCAACCAGCGGATTCCATGTCAGCAGAAAAATTCTATGGAACACAATGTGGGCCATATTCTTATGTTGTTTCAACGAATCTTAGCAATAAATCACGCTACATATCTTATTTTGTCAGTCAATATTTTTTAAATCATGGTTCTTTGAAAGAATTGTCATTAGTTATTGCCGAGTTGGTTGCTTAAAGAAAATCGAAATAAACCAATTTTAATTATTTTGTAGTATATCTGAGGAAACATCAAAGACATAAAAAAAATTCGTTTTTTTAACTTTGACGAAATTCGGTGTTGAATCCTTATATCCACGAAAATAGGTTACACCACTGTACTTCTTATAAAGGGAATATTCGTGTTGCACAATTTGTACGTTTCATGCCGTTTTTACAAAATTCGGCTAGTAGAAAATTAATTACTGGAGCGGGTCCAAATGTGTCGGTGTGGGTCAATATTTAGGTTAGAAAGTGGAGTTACTTCCCCCACCTTTCACGTCTGGGTTTCCGCTTTTCTATGGCTAGTTCAGAGTGTCCAATGACGTATTGAGAGTGTTGAATGCGCATTGGTCTATGGGTAAATAGGTGATTTCCCTTCTGACGAAAGCTACATTTTAACCAATCGTTCACAACTTCCGTGTTATGTCTTTTTCCGATCACAGTTGTACGCAAATTATTAATAGATATTTGCACATCTCGATATATTTTGTACAATTTGAAGTCAATTTACACTGTGTAGTAATAAACTTGAAGGGTTATTTCAGAATTGATTGATAACTAGTCTAAATAGTGTGCTCGGTTGGGTTGTATCTTTTCTTTATACAATAAATATCAAGGTAAGCCATCCTCTTTATTCAAGCTAAACCTATATTTTTAAGTAGCCTATATCTTTGTAGTCTTAATGTAGAGATTAGGTTGGTTGAAAAGTCACTATTGACAAGCAAAGTTTTTAGTCAACTTGGCCCATAGGCCTAACTTTATTTTTTTCTCTTTTTATTTTTTATTTCTACATTTTACTGATCCTTGATGAAATCATCGATGTAATTTTTTATTGATTATTTGTATGTGTTGGTTGTATTGTCTATAACAGAATGAAGACAGGTCTATCGGTGGACTCAGGATCTGATCTTGATGCTCATTGGTTTCTGTGCCCCAATTTTTACCCGTTTGTAGTCCTAATCTAAAGATATATTTTTTTACCATAAATTTCCCAACATTTGGTACAAATAAATAGGTCAAAATGGCCTAGGCTGAATAAGCTTATAGTAGTTATAAGCCTATAATACATTAGATTTATGATGTTTAACACATTTAAAAAAGGATGATTTGTTTTGAATATCAAAGCAAAGGCTGGTTGGCTTTCTCCCATTTTCAATTTATCAATTGGCCTAGAGATTTCCTCCTTTTACAAATGCAGTCTGAATGATATCATCAAGTGGTTTCCTCTCCTTGTCAATGTAGAAAGGAAACAATTATGAAATATACTATTTCTTAAATATCAGTACAGTATACTCTGTGTAATCCGACATACACTGGGATCAATGTTGTATTGACGAGTGTTAAAGGATGAACAGTTATTTTACAAGACGTGCAAAATGTTACTGTTTATAGCTCAATGACCCAAGATGTTACAGACGGTACCTTTCTAATAATAAGACAATAATAAAAGACAATTCAGTTGTATATGTTACATATATAAGTTTTATACACATTATTATCTTGTCACCGTTTTGGCTAGTGTTGAAACGGTTAGTGAATTTTACTAACCGGGTAATTGTCGACAATAACCATTTGTTACCCGGTTAATCACGGTTAATTACTAAAGATTATAAAATTATATTATAGAGTTAAGTATAAATGAATACCCAGGAAGATTTTGGCTAGTTCCTGCGAATTGTCTGTACAAATCGACAGATACCAAACAACCCATTGACAGAGTTCAGACGGACTGGTGCCATTGTCACTCTAAGTCGTTAACAGATTTAAGGTTTTTAATACCAGTTGTGGGGTCAGTGTAATGAGTGTCTTTCATTGAAGTAGTCGCGATTCAGTGTACTGGTTCCACAACTGGTATAAAACTATTGTCTCAATGAATCCGTACTCATGAATAAGCTTGAAGCTGATTGACAGGCAAGAAGAAACAAACAGCCAATTAGAGGAGAGTTAATAAAAAGTAATAGTGTTTTGATAATTGATACCCTATCTTGATTTATTAATCTCAATTATTCAATCAATAAAGATATTTATTTACTAAAGAAAACAGCTTAAAGACTCATACAGTGATGAAATTTCTGTCAAATTGCTCTCTTTTTACTTCTTATAAAATTGACGGTTAACTGATTATCTCAAATCAGACCGGGTTACCCGTGAAATACTACCCGAAATCAGTTAACCGTTTCAACACTAATAGATGAACCCTATTGAAAATAAAAGGATTTAAAACTATTTTATTTCAGTTATTGACCTTAAACTTGAAACTGCATTCAATATTTTGCTGGATTTTGACAAAATATAGTTATTCAGTATCACCCCCAATAAATTCAAAAGTGTATGACTAACGGTTGAATTTTTCATTTTGTTACGGTACGGTCAAATATTGTTTGTTTAAAATCAAAGCTTTCATATAACCTTGCATGGCAAAAACTATCTCTTTTTAGTATTGTGCATTTTCAACATCATTTGGTAATCCATTATTTAATTTTTGTTTTAGTGGTGGTAAAGGAAAGTAAAAGAAATGTCAAAGTATATCAAAGAGGTTTATGTCAATGAAAGAATACATAAAGAACCTGAAGAATGTTCTGATACTGATGAAAATGGTGATGAAAATGAACATGTTAGAGAGGAAAAAGATTTGGAAGGAAGAATCACTGAAGACAATGCTATTGATATCACCAAACAATTGGAAGATTGTCATATAAGCTCAAGAAACACAGATGAGATTGAAGTCAAATCAGACAGTTTAGAAGATGATTTAATCAACAAGTTGAGTGGGGTGTCTATCAAAGAAAATGCCATTTTATTCACTCCAGAAAATACTGGTATTTCTAACCAGGCACAAATTTCAGAATTAGAAGCTAGGGGTCCAATGAGGGGTATTGCTACTGATTTTAGACAAGGTACCAATACTACCTTTTTTAATTCAGTTGAATCTTCATGGAACTACCCCGAAAGCCTGCCTAATTTTAATTGTACTAGTGGAAAGAGAAAGCAGGCAGAATATGAAGAGAATCCAACAAAATTTCTATCACCATCTGTATATGAAGAACATTTGAATGATTTAGATATGATGGAAAGTAGACCGCTTAGAAATAATCAAGAATCAAATGTTGATGTAGCAGTGGTTCCTGATATGTGTGACATAGACAACTTACTGCAAATGTTAGGTAATGGTACAGACAACAATTTTCCCGGTAGTAACAAATTACAGTCAGACTTGCTGGATTATAACAGTGAAGGATATGCAAGTGAAGATAGTCCTGTACACGAAACAGCATATTCACCTGTTGGGATTGATTCACCTCCTCCATCTAATCTTTCTCACTTATCTGATGATAGTGGAATAAGTAACAGCAGCCAATCAATGTCTAGTCCAGACCAAATATACAAGTATGAAGTGGAAAGTCCAATGCCAAAATCATGCGATGATCTGTTTGAAGAACGTAAAGATGAATTGGCAGATCTCTTAAATATTTTGGCTAGAGATATAAAAAATGATGAAAAATTGAAAAAAGAAGACATGGCAAGGAGAAATTTACCCCAAAAAGCAAGCAATGAATTAAATGCTAGTTTACCTCCTAAAGAATGTCAGACCTGGCCTAGGCATACCAATGAGGAAAACAATAGGCCTCTGAATAATTTTATGGAATCAAATGAAAAGTTACCTGTCGGTCAACATTCAACAAGAATAAAGTTAGCAGCAAAAGAGAACAACTTCAGATGCCCTAATACAACACATGTTTCTCCTCAAACAACAGCTGGATCTTTAGTATCTTGCCGTCAAGCCATTCCCATATCGGTTAATATATTACCTTCAGGTAACTGTCATTCAAAACCTCTTAATACTGTACCATCCTCAACATGTCCAATTTTAGTCATATCTCAAAATCAACCCCTTGTGGTTGTTAGCCCCATACCTATAAAGCCCACACAACAAACAAAGAAACAGTCTAGCTTTGTTCCTATTTTACCAAGACTAACTCCTGTGAACCAGAAAATATCAACTGTCAACAATGTGACATCTACATCAAGAGTTCCTACCACAGTAGTAGCAGCTGCAGAAGAACATGTAGCCAACAATTCAGATAAGAAACCAACTCACATTCAGAAGTACAAAGGTGAGATAAGGCTTGTTTAATATTGATGTATATTACCCTCACCCCTGTCATCTGTTCGCTCACAATGAATTCACAAAAAGGGATACCGGTACAGTGTTAATCTGATCTGTTTAATTAGGAATTGCCCTTTATTTGTACTATGTTTGATATGCCTGGAAAGCTATTTAGTGTAAACTTTAAGTTGAAAGCTGTAAACCTTTTTAAGGTTATAAAGAGCCATTCTGTATCGATTTGCACCATTCCAATTTTCAGTCAGACGCATGATTCTTAAAATTCTGCATTCATTGTGCATTTTAAGACATCACTACCGCAAAGCTTTTTATTTATCGAGCACCTCTGCGATAGCTATGTCATGAAACACCTTTATTGGAAATGAGTGCCACAGGTGTCACAAATTGGAATGGTGCATTTTGATGTAATGTGTTCCAGATACTTAAAAAAGTTTAGAAAACTTCTTTACAATCAAAATTGACATTTTGTAGTATCTTTTGCCAAAAGCATATGCCTCAAATGCATTGGAGATTAGGCAGTTTTTATCATTGAATCAAATTTTGCTGGTAAAGAAGGTTACCATGTAAATATTAACTTTGGCTTCATCTTCATACTTTAAAAACTAAAAAATGTAATATATGCCTGAAATTATTTCTAAAATATGCTATTAACATTTATGTTTCTACTTCATCGAACTGAATGAAGTTTACTTAATGTGAAATAAGCAGCTAATTAGTTTTTATATGCCCACATAAAATTGGGGGCGTATATTGCAGTCACCTATTTCCGTTGGTCCATTGGTCTTGACTGATTTAGACGAAAATTTGTATGATTGTTTGTAATCACTCAAGGATGAATCCTATTGAAAATAATAAAAATGGAAAAATATTCAATATGAGTTATTGCCCTTGTTCCTGCAAACTCTCTAGTAGGCAAAATTCTTGATGGATTTTGACGAAACTTGATGTGATTGTTTGTTATTTACCAAGGGTGAACCCTATTGAAAATCAGAGGTATCAAAAAATATTTAGTATTTGTTATTGCTCTTGTTCTTAAAAACGCATTCAATTTTTTACCTTGTAAACACTCCAGAGGGCACAATTCTTGATGGATTTTGACAAAACTTGGTATGAGTGTTAGTAATCAACAAAAGATGAACATTATCGAAAATCAGAAAGATTTGATATTGTAACCTACCCTTTTTGTAGTTGATGATAATAAGCGGTTGAATTTAGCTAGACGTTTGGTGGCTAAAATGACAAGTGATGATTTAAAATTTCAAGATAATGAAGGGGATACGTAAGTATTATATGATTGTAACTTGCTGGTAAATTTGCTTCTTGTGAATCAGAGTAAATGTATTAGTTTTTTTCACCAATTTGACTGCAAAATCAACATAATTTGGTCTACCTAGATACACCAAACAGATTATAGTATCATTCTAATTTTGATGTGTAATTTAAAAGTAAAATGAAATGTTATATAAATAAGACATCAGCCAGTTGTCAGCTTTTTTGAAATTTGTTGGTTGATACCAAGGAAATGGTGATCTGAGTAATTTACTGAATACATGTATCATGTTACAATTGTTACATGTATTTCTTACAGTGGCTCTTTAAGCTATTGCTGCAAAATTTGTGGTTAATTTTTCTTAATCTTTGTACTTCTGCAATGGAAAGCTGGTATAATATGATTTCTCCATTTAGCTATCTTCATGTAGCTGCATGCAAGTCAGACAAGAATATGGTACAGGCTTTATTGGAGAGATTAGAAAGGGAAAAATTGCTAGGAATGATTGATGTTCATAATCTTCGAAGACAGGTAGTTATAGTATTAGTATTAAATATAAATAAGATATATTTCCATGAAAAAGTTACAAAAACATTAGCATTTCTCCAGATATTGCGGAAGTGGCGTAGCAGATCAAAGTGTTATTTTGATGAGGGTCGTTAACTTGGCTGATTGCCAAATATGGATAGGGAGCATGTTTGTATTGAGTATCCTGAAGCTTGACTGAGTGCATGCGAGAGCAACAGTTCAGTTTGTCAGCGGCGTTGTGCTTGGTTGAATTCATCTTGAATATAATTCATATGTTTTGATAAATTCTTAACTTATCAACCACTTTTTAGTCGTAAGATGTATATTTTTGTTTGATGTGATAATTGGATAATGAAATACCGGTAACAATTTTGACTGACAACTCAAGTTTAGAGGCCCAGAAAATATGAATATTGTCATTCTTTAGTACAGAATGAATCAAGAATCGCACAATGCCAATGCGGGTTTCTGATGCTTGAAATCATTGACAGCATCATTTTAAAACTCATTCCAAACCCTTGAAATCCCATGTTATTTTTACTTTGTTTGTTATAAGTACTGACACTGTTACATTAAACATTTCCAAAATGTTTGTTTCTTGCCTCAAGTACAATTCTAACTTTTCAAGTTGCACTGAAAGAAAAATAATTTATGATGAAAGCTCATGAAGAAATGAACTGAATTTGTTACTTCCAATCCAGTTCTCTTCAGACATGGATACAATATGTAGTTAGATTTCATTCAATTTGGACATCCAATCTCACATGATAATCTAGAATAGGATAAAGTTGATGTTATTTATTGTGATATCTTATGAAGACTTCAAGATTTTGCTTTGTGGTAAAATTAAGGCTACCGTAAAATTTCTATTATAACAGCCGATGTTGTTATTAAAAGTATGTCATGTGTTATGATAGACAAAATCTTAATTGGGAGACCAATTACTTAGGCAGTGAGAAATTTATCAAATGCTAAGATTAAAAGTATTAAAGGTAATTTTATTGAATTACAAACTTTATGTACTGACTACTGTATAGTTGACTACTGGTTAAACTGGTATAAGCCCAATAAAAGTGGTAGATGTATGTCATCAGTGTTATGATTGGTTTTTATTTGCTTTGACCTTTTTTTTTACAGACAGCCCTTTATTGTGCTGTTAGTGGAAATAATCCTGGAATGGTGGAAATGTTATTACGTTATGGCGCTGATATTAACACACTTGCAGAGGTAATCTTACTTTGTAGTTCACATACTTATACATCATTACCGTTTTATTTTATCCTATTAAAGTCTGTATTCAATCTTCTGGCATCCATTTCAATTTTTATACGCCCACATCTATCTATGTGGACGTATATTGTCGGCACCTCTGTCCGCCCGTCAACATTTGCTTGTAAACGCTCTAAAAACTAGATTTTTTGATGGAATCAAATGAAATTCGGTATGTGTATACATATTCATAAAACGAAGATCAAGTTCGAATTTGAGCCATTTTGAAGCAGAGTTATTCCCTTGCCCCAAAATCTTGAATATGCGAATTACTCTCTTAGTTATCAACTGATTTTGATGAAAATTTAAATGGATGTTATTGAACCTAAATCGAAAGGCTTGAGAAAGTTTAGTTTACTTCTGATTAAATTTAAGGCTTTTTCAAGATTTAGGCCTCTTACGTCAGTTTTGAGGAGTTATCGCCCTTCAACCTCTATACAGTAAGTGCTTCTATCAACATCAATTGCTCTGAAAACTAGAGTGTTTGAAGGAATCAAATGAAATTCGGTATAGGCATACATATTCATGAAACGTCCGTCTGATTTTTAGATTTTTTGATGGAATCAAATAAAATTCAGTATGTGTATACATATTCATAAAACGAAGATCAAGTTCGAATTTGAGCTATTTTCGACCGTTAGAAGCAGAGTTATTCCCTTGCCCCAAAATCTTGAATATTTACCATATGCATGCCGTGGTGGGCGTATATGGCCGTGGTCCACTATGTTTTACTTATACATTCTGTAGAAAGAAAAGGACTTAATACTGTTTACACTACCCTCTATATAATCTGTTCCATTCTGAGAACAATTCCAAGACCACCAAGCCTTGGTGGTCTCAAATTTGAACTGTTGAACAATGGACCCTACTAATTTTTATACGCCCACATTATAGTGTGTAATTAATTACAAAACTTGACATCATATACCATCCTTTAATACCCAACGTTTCGTCAAAGTAAGAAGTTCAAAGAAGTTTGTTTCTTCCCCTCGTAAAAACTTTTTTTCAGTATACATCGAATGAATTGCTGTACTACTAGTGGTATAGGTAGTCTTCTGTGATTGGTTATTACTGCCTGCTTTTTATACACCCACATGGAAATGGGGGGCGTATATTGTTGTTACCCATATCCGACTGTCGGTTCAACCACAATTGCTCGTAAACACTCTACAAGGCACATTTGACTGATTTCGACGAAACTTGGTATGGTTGTTTGTAATCACCTAAGGATAAACCCTTTTGAAAATCAGAAAAATCCAAAAAATATTTAGTATGAGTTATTGCCCCTGTTCTTAAAGCAATCGTAAACATTCTAGAAGGCACAATTTTTGACAGATTTTGATGAAACTTGGTGTCAGTGTTTGTAATCACCCATAGATAAACCCTATTGAAAATCAGAATAACTGAAAAATATTTGTTCTTGAAAATGCGTTCAATTTGTAGCAAGTAAACATCTAGAATGCTAAATTCTTGATGGATTTTGGCGAAACTTTGTGTGAGTGAATGTAATCACCCAAAGATGAACCCTAAGATCATAAAAATCGAAAAATATTTAGTATAAGTTATTGTTGACTTGTTAACCCAATAGAGGTGACAGTTTTTGTCAAAAATTTTATGAAATGTTTGTTTAAATCAACAATATCTTGCACAAATTAGATTTTCGGTACAATTTGACATGAATTGGTACCGCCCTTGATATAATAAAAATAAGGCAACCACTTGTTCATCTGTTCTGTTCTCAAAACCGTTCTAAAAACAGATATTTTTGGTAAGGTAAAGAAGGATATTGTTGAATTTTTTATATACAATGAATAGCAGTTGACCATTATGATTTCAGAGAGTAGTTCAGTCGAATCACTTTAAAGACATAACATCTGCATTATCTGCACTTCATGTTGCATCAACAAATGGAAATGAGTATTTAGCTACATTAAGGACCTTGTTGCAGAGTAAGGATCTGTTGTTGAATAATCCAAATTCAGATGGTAAGCAATTTCTAATTCTATATAGGAATATCACTGCATAATTTATGAGTCAAATGCGCCCCCTTTCTATCATTTATATACGCCCACATGAAATATGTCATATATTGATTAATGAAATGAAATAAATTGAGTTTTACGTCCATCCGTCCGTCCACAATTGCTCATAAACACTCTACAAGGCACAATTCTTGACTGATTTTGACGAAACTTGGTATGCTTGTTTGTAATCACTCAAGGATGAACCCTATTGAAAATCGGAAAAATATTTTGTATCAGTTATTGCCCTTGTTCTTGAAAACGCATTCAATTTTTAGCTCGTAATCACTGCAGAAGGCACAATTCTTGATAGATTTAGATGAAACTTGGTAATATTATTCAGTATTGCCCTAAAGAGCTCAAAAGAAGTGTATGACTGAAGGGTGAATATTTCATACTGGTGATTGTTACTTTACTGCATGTGAACACAATCATTTATAATGATGAGATCTTGGTCAAGTTCAAAGTTGACGATCTTTCGATAAGGGTTTTTGAATTATTGCCCTTGATTTAGGAAAAACTCATCATCATTTGTTTGTGAACACAATAGAGACTACAATTTCATTCGATTTATTTGAAATTTGGTGTGATCATTTATAATGATGAGATCTTCAACAAGTTCAATTTTGATTTTGCAATCAACAGTATTTGAGTTATTGCCCTTGATAATTTGTTAGCTTGTGAAGGCGATAGAGGTGACAGTTTATGTCAGAATTTTACTAAATTTTGTGCATTTGTTTAAAATGAACAATAGCTTCCACAAATTTTGGGTACGTTTTGATGCAGATTGGTGACCGCCCTTGATATACTGAAAATGTATCAGGAAAGTGGGCGTATCTTGCAAGGCAATGATTTGTATTATATTTTAAATCCATTTTCTTCAGGTCAAACAGCATTGCATTGTGCTATCCTCTGTCATAACAAGAATAGAAATAATCAGAACAATGAGTATATAGATAGCAGACAGGTTATTGAGCTTTTGATAAATCATGGTGCTGACATCAATGCTCAGGTAATTAGATAAATTTAATTCTTTAAGGGATTGTATATAGATGTTTTTATGAATTTTTTATGTGAATCAGGGACACTAATAGCATCAATCTGCACTATTCCAATTTTCAATCAGATGTCTGTGGTTCCTGCAATTCCACTAAAAATAAGCATTTTATGATGTCATTTATCACAAATTGCATGAACCACAGACGTCTGATTGAAAATCTAGAAAACATCTTATAATCCCTTAAAGGAATGAATGTGTTTCTATTTCTTGGGAAGTAAACGCTGCTTTATCAAGTGACAAAGCATACATGATTAGTATGTTAGTTGTAAGGTCAGTTGTCTTGTCTCATGATAAATCAGGGTTTATTTCCCAATTGCAAGAACCACATTCATTCCTTATTCACATTAATTCATCTCTTCTATTAAAACTAAAAAAAAATTGTATTTGTTTTTTAATACGGCCACATGAAATGTGGAGCGTATATTGCCGTCACCCATGTTCGTCCGTCCACAATTGCTCGTAAACACTATACAAGTCACAATTCTTTACGGATTTTGACGAAAATTGCTGAAATCATTTATTATCACCCAAGGATAAAATCGAAAAATATTCAATATGAGTTACTGCCCTTGTTTTTCAAAACATGTTCGATTTTTAGCTCGTAAACACTCTACAAGTCACAATTCTTAACGGATTTTGACAAAACTTGCTGGAATTGTTTATTATCACCCAAGGATGAACTCTATTGAAAATCAGAAGAAGCGAAAAATATTTAGTATGAGTTATTGCCCTTGTTCTTGAAAACACTTTAAACACTTAAAGGCATGATTCTTGCTGGATTTTGACAAAACTTGGTTTTATTATTCAGTCCTGCTGTGAAGATTGAATATTTGCCTTCTAAAGTTTTCACGAGCTAAAAATTGAACACGTTTTCAAGAACAAGAGCAATAACTCATACTCAATATTATTCAGTATCGCCCTAAAGAGTTCAAAAGAAGTGTATGATTGAAGGTTGAATATTTCATACTGGTGATTGTTACTTTACTGCTAAATATTCTTATTCAAAATCAAAGCTGCCAGTGGGCGTATATTACCTTGCCTGGCAAGCTACCTTTAAATGTAAGATTGGCGAAAATTCACATTTATGGCCGGCCAGTGGCTGTGTACAATGTAAAGAATTTGACTATGAAAAACAATATTATGACAGATGTTTTTATTTAATAGAATCTCTCCTTGTACATTCTTTCACATTATGTGATAAACTTGGTGTGTTCAAACCTGTAAATATCAAAATGGTATTTTCATGCCTAACTGTGTTACTGGTCAGTCAGAGACAAAGACACTACATAGCCAAATTTTTCACAAAGATTTTTTGATGGAATTGGCAGAAACTCAATAACATGGTGCCTTCAGATCTGTGAATAGAGCAAAGGTCATGCCTAACTGTGTTACTGGTCTGTCTAAGATGAAGCCCCTACATGGCCAATATTTTCAGTCTATAGTATTGGGGTAGGGCAGATTTTTCGATGAAATTGGTAGAAATCAAGTTTGAAATTGGTTATAATGAGATGAACGGGTCCAAAGTTATTGTCCTTGATTAAGTAAAAATTCAACAAATTTGGCTTGTAGACATGATACAGTTTTATCTGATCTTGATGAAACTTCGTATGCATGTATATATTGATAGTATGTGATAAACTTGGTGTGTTCAAACCTGTAAATATCAAAATGGTATTTTCATGCCTAACTGTGTTACTGGTCAGTCAGAGACAAAGACCCTACATAGCCAAATTTTTCACAAAGATTTTTTGATGGAATTGGCAGAAACTCAATAACATGGTGCCTTCAGATCTGTGAATAGAGCAAAGGTCATGCCTAACTGTGTTACTGGTCTGTCTAAGATGAAGCCCCTACATGGCCAATTTTTTCACAGTCTATAGTATTGGGGTAGGGCAGATTTTTCGATGAAATTGGTAGAAATCAAGTTTGAAATTGGTTATAATGAGATGAACGGGTCCAAAGTTATTGCCCTTGATTAAGTAAAAATTCAACAACTTTTGCTTGTAGACATGATACAGTTTTATCTGATCTTGATGAAACTTCGTATGCATGTATATATTGATAGTATCTCAGTTTAGTTTGAAATTGGTAATAATCGGATGAACTTGGTTTCTAGGTTGTTGCCCTTAATTTGGTAAAAAATATAGGCTACAGTTTTAAGCTAAGATTCCATATACGCATCATGCGGATGCGTCATGCGGACATAAATGGCCCTTGCAGATCCGTCATGCGTCAAATATTATTCCATATGTGCGTTAAAGCGTCTAAACGTATGCGTTATCTTTCTTTTGACGCACGGACTTCTAGAGAGATGGATGCTTTGGTGCATAAAAAAGACGGAATCCCCACAAAATACGTCACATTTGGGAGATCTCCGCGTGGAAAGGCGTCCGGATGCGTAAAAAATCGCTATACGAGGCGATTTTTTTTTTTACGCATGACGGAGATCCTTTGCGGGATATCGCTTCCGCATATATGAAGTCATACCCTCTTAAACCAACCATTTCGATCATTAATGCATGACGCATTATATGGAATCTTAGCTTTATTCTGATCTTGATGAAACTTGGTATGCATGCATATATTGATGAGATCTTGACAAGTACGAAATTTTTAACAATCAGGTGAAAGGTTTTAAGTTATTGCCTTTGTGTGTATGTCATGAGACCGTTATAAATTTAATGATAATTTGATGAACTGTTTTTGAGTTTTTGCCTTTTTCATTATTAAGACTTTATCGTTTCTGACAGTTGATAGGTGGTGTATGTTACCTTGCCTAGCAAGCTATGTATCTTTTCCAATGAAATTTATATTGTCATCGAAACAGCTCCACAGTGATGATGCTGAAAACTGGAACCAGACTCACAAATGCAGAGGCTTTTCTGTCAAGTGAAGATACCCCTCACTGTAAGACAGTTCTGTAACCTAATAATCTAATGTACCATCAATTAATTGGTAAATGCTTTTGTTATTTAAATTGGATAATAATGTGGATTATATATAATCCCAGCATTATTCTACATGACAAGCTTTCTACTTTTTATTTTCAGGACAAGAAAAATGGTAAAACGCCATTGATGTATGCGTTAGAATCAAGAAATGTTGAATTGATCTATTCTGTTGTAAAGAATGTTGATGCTGATAAAAAAAGGTCACACTTGCGCACTCTTTCCTTTGACGGCAATAGTGCACAAAAAATTCTTGATTCCCTGAAGACTATACTTGTTGAAAAACAGTGGCAAAAAATACATGACATGCTGATATGCACTGAAAAGGAAATGAATATATACAAGAATATTGCTGGTAAATCATCAACATTGTTTCATAAGGGAATTGGGCTTATTTAACCTTACCTAAGTGTCAATTACACATGTATATGTACAGTTTAAACAAACAACCAGAGTCTTACGATCTTTAGCTTATTCTGTGCTCTTGTTATTTCTTCATTCAACTTTTTTCATTTAATCACCTTATAGAATTTCACTACAGTTACCTGTATCATTTTTCCAAATGAAAACCAAAAAACGGGTTTGCCTGCAATTGGGCAACATCATGCTTACTTTTTATTTATTTCTTATTACCAAGTGATCTTTCAAATTAACAGCTTGTATAACAACAATTTATTTCTCGTACCAGACTTGGCTAAAATTGTGTGTTTCTATTGTTTTTGAACAGCTAACCTAAATTCGGCAGCTTGTAGACTTAAAATAACAGTACATGTACAAATATAAATTGTCTTCATGTTTTATCAAGTCTTTAGATTATTGTGAATAAGGAAAAGATAGAGAGTTAGGCACATTGTCAAAAGTTTTGCCCTATCTCTATCATTTTGTAGTCTCTATTTAGTGTACAATATTAAATAACTTCATATTTCAAATTATATTATTGTGAATAAGGAAAAGATAGAGAATTGGACACACATATTTCATACCCTGGTTTTTATTTGAAATGGGGGCCGTATATCGTCGAGACCCATTTCCGCCTGTCTGTCCACAATTGCTCGTAAACACTCTACAAGACACAATTCTTGACTGATTTCAAGGAAACTTAGTATGGTTGTTTGTTATCACCCAACATGGATAAACCTATTGAAAATCAGAAAAATTGAAAAATGTGTAGTACCGTATGAGTTATTGCACTTGTATCTTGAAAACAGTTCAAGTTTAAGCCTATTAACCCTCAAGAAGGCCAAATTCCTGACAGATTTTGATGAAACTTAGTAATATTATTTGCCTCAAAAAGTTCAAAAGAAGTGTATGTCTGAAGGTTGAATATTTCATACTGCCAAATTAGTTTTTTAAAAATTAAAGCTGCCAGTGGGCGTATATTACCTTGGCAAGCTATCTTATCATACGAAACTTCGCATCTTGCCTAGCTCCGTATAGTCGCAGATCTATCTCCGATAGGTAGAATTTCTCTGTTGATCAGGATGGCTATCTTATATGAATAACCTTACTTTTTAGTTGGTTATAACCAACATCAAGAAATAAGTAATATTTATAGCTCAGGTTTAAAAAGTTTGCCAATTTTAACAGAGCACCAGGCTGTTAAAACCGGTTACTGAATGAAAACCTGCCATAAAATACTTGACATGATTAACGAAAGTTATAATTATTGTACGTGTGTCAAATGCTTCATTTTGGTTTGTAACCACATGTTGTCTGTTATATCATATTATTCATATATTTATTTACATAGCTTAGACATCTTAGGTACTGTACACACTGACAACCATTTTTGGCAACAAGATTATTTTTGTTCACTTCATATGAATAATGTTGTCAAGTTTCATCATGAACCCACAAAATAGAAAACTTCATCCTGGGGAAATTCTTGTTTGAGAACTCTTTCAGGAGACAGATGTAGCTCCATGCTTGTGGGTTTAATTTGAACATGAACCCATTTTTCGTTGAATTTTCAACCAAATTTAGAAATATACGCCAACTTTCGACGGTTTGCACTTAAATGAACTATTGTCATTGGCAAGATTGATGAGACGTCTACAAGTTTGGATTTCTACTGAATTTTTTTATGCGCATACAATTGTAATCAAAATTTAGGCGAAAATTGTTATGATAAATTGTGAATCAAATTTCCCAATCTGTTCCAACATGTTGCTGTGTGTATCCTGAACCAAATTTTTGTTTCCCAGGTGTGTTGTTGAAAATGTGTGCTCAGTACTTAAGTGTCAGAGCTGGCCTTAAATTTGTTGAAACAAAAAAAAAAAAAAAAAAAAAATGTCTTATATGTGCTATTATTACATGGATCATAATGAATTATACCAAGACTAGGCGTTGCTCAACATTTCAACATCAAAAAATTTTTAGATAAAAACTTTGTATATAGAGTAAAAAAATAAGCAGTAGTTTTAAAATGAAGAAATTGTGAAAAGCTTCTATTCAGACACAGGTCAAGGTCAGCAATAAAGAGATCTGCTTCATAACAATAAACTTGTTAAATAAAGTACTTTATGAAAGTTTTTGTTATCACAGTTTTAAGAGATAGGTCCTATGGGAAGATGGGTGGGGCCTGAAAAATAGAAGAATATCTATATGTAAAGGTAGTAAAATACTGAATCAGCTTGTCTGAGTAGAGTCAGCAAAAAGGCCCTGGGGGTTGGTTTGCTGATTCGAGGTATCTAAAAAGGGTTAAAACCCTTGCACCTGCGGAGATACGGAAAGTTCCCATTTAACACTTCCATTCAAACAAGGAATTTTACTCAGTATTTTTATATATGTCCTTTCTATATATCACAGACTATCTTAAATTGACAAGTCGTCATTTTAACATTCAAATGCAGATAATTCTGGACGCACATAGATTTGAAAGCTCAAATTTCGACGGTCAGATGTTAACACTATTACTGAATACTGATTAGCCCAGCTAAAAATTTCTTTTTTCTGACACTAAAGTATGAATGGTCAAAAAATGGCCTACTGACCTTTTAAGGTGCGACAGATTGTCCCACGACAAAAATTTTTTCGGACAGATGACGTAAATGATGTTTTTCTACGTACTGCTATGTGTGTCCACACAAGTGCAATCCTATAGGTTTCATTCGATTGCGTTACGTATCCAGCTGGTGGAAGGAAAAAAAAGGACATTTGCCGTACGTATGTGCGACCGCGGCCAAATAAGTTATGTATGTCCGTAAGTAACGACACCAGCCTCCTGAGACCGAAGGTATAAATATGTGGGGACAACCTTCAAGAATAAGATTCAAAATGCGACCGCTTTAGTTGGCGTGGAAGCTCATAAGCACGAGCCTCCAATAAGCATCTCAAATGGTGCGTTCTGACACAGAATTTAGAGCAAAAACTTATTAAAATCCACCCTTGTACACATAATGACACAACCACTGATTGATTATGTGAACATTGGACAATCTAAAATGAAGAAAAAATGAATGCAACTTGGTTTATTAACAATAAATTACAAATTTTCATCCCGACATTCTGATGCTGTGTCGGTGTTTTTGTCGACTCTTCGTCTGAACTACAACTAGAACTGTCATCAGGATCAATGACTATTCTGTCGATCTCTTTCCATTGTGATAGCTGTTGACCAATATCTCTCTTTAACCTTCACCAGAGTTGGCATTTTCTCAATTTTTCATCCGTAATCGAAGAAAATCCTTTTACAAGCTATTCCATGTCCATAAACATAAAAGCCAAATTATTTCTTGCCACCTATCCTTTTAAGTCGGCCCAAATAAGTTCAATAGCATTAAGATCGACATGACATTGTGGCAAACTGTATGTCCATGACTGTTTAGGATGGTATCAATTCTGTATTTTGGTGGAATAGGGTGCATTTTACACAGTGAGAATTTTTTCAATGAATGATATGAGAAGCAGAAGCAGTTGTTGGACGTTTATCCTCTTTGACATTGTGGTATGCTGCATTATCCAAAACCAAACCAGAATTGTACCCTAAATTAGGATTTAAAATCTCCTGAAGCCATTTTAAAAAGTTTGTACTATTCATTTCGTCGTGGTGTCGCCAGTAGATGACTTTGATTTGAACAGTAAAAGGGAATTGGGAACAAAGCCTTCATCCTAGCCTGTGTGAACAATAATCAGATGTTGACTCCCTGCCAACATTTAGGAACTGTTTGAGAGGAATGGACAAATGTCTCATCAGTATACACTATTGGTCTACCTTCAGAATGAAATTTCTTCATTGTACTTAAATATATGATTCTAAAAAGTTTTTTATTTGTAAACATGATTTACAGAGGGGAATTTTCAGTCCGAAAAGTAAGTCATTTTCACGTGAATTTTCTTGGATGCAATTGTGTCTATTTTAAATGTAAAATCACTAAATCTTATATTTCTATGGACTCGAAGACATTCTAAGTCAAATGGCATAAAGTAGAAAATTTCATTTTGAATATATATTAAATGAGAGAAAAATATTCAAAGCTCAATGAAGTCAGACAGTAGACATTTTACTTGCTATTTCTCTTGGAAAACTTAAATATAACTTTTCTGCTTACATTCTTCATAACAAAATTGCAATAAGGATTTAAAAATCGCTTTTGACTGCGCTGTTAAGTGTGGTCCTCTTGTAATCATTAAATCCATTTTGCGCTCCAGATAATGACTGATCACAGAAAAGCACGGGAAAATGCAAGATGTGAAATAACTACACTTGTTTGAATGTAATTTACCTCAAATAAAAAAAGTTTCGGACTAAAAAGTCAGAATAAAGAATAAAGGGGCAGCACAAGAGAGGTCAACAGACATGTATTAAATGAAAAGATGAATGGCCATTCAGGGTTACTTTGGTTCCATTGTCAACCGTAGAAGTGAAACTCAGCCAGATAAACTTTTGCATAGAAAATTGTATCAAGATTTAGATAACACGTATTTACACTGGGAAAGAAAGCATGAATCAGTTGCTCGCATGAAATATCGGATGCAAATGAGGAAGAAATTTTTCTATGGTAAAAGTTACGGAATGTGGGTTGTTGGTGTCTCCTAAATATCAATATATGTGTTGTTTTTTAGAATGAAATTGATGGAAAGCAGATGCATGGCTTGCTCGAGATTAAGTGCCCAGCATCAGATACTTGAAAAATGTTGTCACCTGAAGACTGTTGTTATGATCCCAAGTTTTACTGTAAAATAGATTCTATTACAAAGCAATGCAAATTGAAAAAAAAACCACACAAGTGCTACTATCAAGTTCAAGGTCAACATGCTGTAAGTGGCAAAAGTTGGTGTGGTTTCGTTATTTGGACACTACAGGGATTATCAGTTGAACGGATATATTTTGATGCAGAAGTGTAATGAAACTGAAAAAAAAAACTATTACAGTGGTGCTTTGTTATCAGAACTATCTCAAGAAGGCTTAAACGTGGACTTTGTATTTTATAATTGTGTATAGTATAAGGTTAAGAGTTGGGTTTAAAAAACAAGAGCAGATTTTAATTTTTTTATTAAAACTTTAACAAGGGATTGTAAAGAGGTTTTCTAGCCTTTTTATGTATATCAGGGACAGCTTCGATTTCTATTTGGGACATAGCAATTCTTCGTCTAATTCGTTTCGTTCCTGCAATTCCAGAAAGAACTAACTGGAAATGACGCAACTTCCGCTAAAGAATTCAAAACAAACCTACCACCAGACCACAATATCATATTTGTTATCTCCCCTTACAAGACGACTCAAAATTGATGACTCATTCACATTTTGCTTCAGCATTTTCTTATAAAACTCTTTATGTCTTATATTGCTTCTTTAATTTCATATGATAATAACCAAAAATGTACATACCGTTATATAATAAATTTAAAAAAAGGTATCACTATTTAATATAAAAAATGTTTAAAAATGTTATTCTGCATTTAAAGATTTTTCAGAATAATTTTAATACAGTCAAGTAACCTAATTTCGTGGAAACCTATTATTCGTGGATTTCCGGAAATGATTAATAATTTACATGAGCGACCTTGCGCGACCTCCTCATTAGTTTGTTTTGATAAACATGGGTTTTCTCTACAATGTCAGCTAGTAGAATGAATCCAGTAGTTTCAAGCAAGGTAAAATGTATTAATGTATACTTTGACAAATACAAAATGGCGGATTTCACTTATTACCAAACGTCACCATTTTTTATCCGCCGAATTTCCTTAGAATCCCAAGCGGTAATCGGAATTCCAAGTGTCGTCTGCTAGAATGTAATCCAACGAATGAAGTCACGCGATCAACTAGCGGATTCTGTGTTAGCAGAAAATTTCTATGGAACACAAAGTGGACCATATTCTTATGTTATTTCAGTGACTTTTAGCAATAAATCACGCTACGTATCTTATTTTGTCAGTCACTATTTTTTTTTAAATCGTGGTTCTTTCAAGGAATTGTCACTAGTTATAATGAATTGATATTAAAGATAAATACTAAGAGAAGTTAATTATACCACCCGGTATCCATACAGCGTGTTTTTCTAGACTTATTTATAGATCAAACATTGTACACGAAAATAGGTGACGCATTATGCCGCCGTTACCGAGTTGGTTGCTGAAATATGGGTCAAAGTGAAGGATTAATAAAGAAAATCGAAACAAACCAATTTTTATTATTTTGTAGAATATCTGAGGAAACATTTAAGACATAAAAGATTTTTTTCGTTTTTTTAACTTTGACGAAATTCGGTGTTGAATCCTTATATCCACGGAAATAGGTTACACCACTGTACCAATGTCCAACTAAATTTTTTAAAAATTAACCAGTCTTTGAGAAAATATGAATATTAGCTGCAACAAATATCGCCATGTACTGTAATTTTTGACTGTGTTTTGTGGCTCGAATCGTCAATACTTTGTTTTTTGGATGATTAATTTTTATGTAGCTGTGATTTTGAGTGCTATTGATTCCAGAATGTTAAAAAATGAAATAAATTTAGAGTAATTAAGTTTTCGATTTGGATTTTCCTGTGGAATGAAAACCACCAATCCTCTCTTTAATTATAAAATGGCCAATGTAAACTTATGACAAAAAATTCCCGACTTATACTGATATTGCGTACACTTTTTCCCCTCCATTTTGTGTTGGAAAAATTGCTAGCAGTTTATGGAGTTACCGATGAAATGCTCAGAACATAGTTTCGTCTCGTCATTGATAACAAACACACAAAGTTCGGTCTCGCATTTCTGCATCGTTGATTTCACACCTTTCTTGCTCGTTTGTTCACCGGGAATCAATGCATGCAAATGTTCCTACCATCTACAACTCTTTCCCATGATTTTGGCATACACAGCAATATCCCTGGTGCGACGGCATTGTGAATTTTGGGAATTGCACGACAAAACTGCCGGGAAAATCAATCAATGACAATTACTACCCGGAAGTTGGTTAGCGGCATAGAGGTGTTTATTTACCTCTATGGTTAGAGGCAGATCACCTCCAAATTTATTGGTGAAGAGTTGCAATTCAGAGGGAGATAACTCACTTATTGAAATTGCCTATACCATACATCAAACTACAAAACATATTCAGATTGAATAACGATTTTCTAGCTCTATATGAAACCACAAAACATATTCAGATTGAATAACGATTCACTAACTATAAACAACAAAACATTTTCCGATTGAATTACGATTCTATAACTATAGGAAACCACAAAACATATTTCGACTGAATAAAGATTCCCTATACCAATTACAATAGGAGTTTTACAAAATTAAACTACGGCATGATCTTAATATTTAATATAATAGGAGAGTGCTGAAGACAAGTGAACTAATTATCATGTTATTATACAACCAACAAACTAACTGACCATATCAGACAAACTTCTATCCTGCCTGTTTGTGTGTAGGACTGAAACTGGCATATTCCTGCGAAAACCTTCAAGTTGGCCCTCGATATCTTTGTCTCGCCAAATCTCTGCGAGCTCCAGAGTTCCATTTGGGCCCCAGGGTAACCCCTGTTTACATTTTCAGGCATTTCACAGAACACAGATAGAACTGCAGATACTAATTGTATTGCAACCATAATCCACGCTTGACAACCGAAGTAGGAAAGGAAAATCTGTTTGCGTATGTGACAGACTCACCGATTCAACTGTATTGCTATAACAATTTTCAATATTTGTTATGAGTTATGATGCTCTAGGATCAACAAAAAAGCAATCAAAGTCACTAAAATTTCATATATAACACCACCAATGGTTCGACAATAGTTGCTAAAAACACTTACTTACGTAACAGGAATCTATATAACCGATACAAAACGGATTCTAATAGCCCCCTGTTTGTAGAAAGCACAAACGAAAGAACAGTTTAAAATCGATAAAGGAATCGCTTCAAGTAGTTTGGTTAACAAAAACACTAAACAATTCTGGAACACAAAATGGCGCAACTGTCCCTTTAAAACAGGAAAAAGTGCTGGAGTCGATGGAATAACCCTCGAACTGAAAAATCTAACCGATACCCATGCACTTTACACCAGCATTAAGACCAGGCTTTGATGGATAATTATGGGGATTGCTTCCCGGTGCAAACTTTCCGGAATTTTCAGTATCTCTGGCTGGACAGGTATGCGATTTTCCCCTTACACTACACTGCCAGTAAGTTGTTTGTCCACGTTTTACAGTACAAGTATATGAAAAACCATGACTATCAACCAAAAGAGTCTTCTGGCGCTGAGAGGAACCAGTTACCACTTCGTAAGTTGGAGAGGTTTCGTCGTCACTAACGACGCTTCCCATGTCAAAATCGTCTTAAATAGTACTAAAATTTAACAATAAAAAAATTAATCTAATATTACTTTAAATACTTACACTTCTGCTATGTCGCTTCTTCGTGTAGGTTGATAAGGAATAGCACAGGGTTCATCTTCCATTTCCATTCTAAAAGCATAAATATATAATAATATAACATATTGGATTTGTAATATTTCTACTAATATAACATAAATAATTGATTCTTAAAGTAAAGTACTTATTCATTTTTGCATGTCAACTACTTTAATGATAAAAAATATGAAAACTTACTCTTATGCTTCAATCGGTGCATCAGGTACACGGATGTTGTCTAATGCAGAATGAATATCGACATCTTGATCTGTACATGTGGAACATTTCCAAGGAAATTTTCAATTGGTAATTTTAAAAATAAAATGGGAGAGTCGCCAATGTCGTACCCCCTAGGAATACAAGCGCCCTTTTCGGTATATATTGTAGTAGGGGAGCCAATACCACCTTTCTGTAAACGAATGGGGTTGGTTCTATAGGTGTACACCAACTAAAGTGTTCTAATAAGTCATATATATATATATTTTATAGCTAATAAAAATATATCGGATATAGGTAAGACTTAGGAAACCACTGTCCTAAGTCGTACCACTTTGTACCGTATGTCGGCATATGCACCCACCGGTACGACTTATGGATTATCCTTTTTCAACCCACTCTCCTCCTGTTAGTGAAGCAAGAATCCGTTTTCATGAATTTATTAAATGAACATAGTTTGTAAGGTAATTTATACGCCCATTGGTAACTTTGTTTGATACCCATAAAGAATTGTGCCTTGTAGAGTGTTTACGAGCAATTGTGGATTGACTGACGGACCAACCGACGGACGGCAATATACGCTCCAAATTTCACGTGGGCGTATAAAAAACATTCACTTTAGATATCATCTATCATTACTAAATTCAACATACTAACTTGAAAATTCAACATACTAACTTGAAAATTCAACATACTAGCTTGAAAATTCAACATACTAACTTGAAAATTCAAGTAACTAACTTGAAAATTCGAGTTACTAACTTGAAAATTTAACATACTAACTTGAAAATTCAACATACTAACTTGAAAATTCAAAAAAAAAAGAAATGAATGGCCCTAATATGCTTCCGTATTTTTGTATGGATTGTCCGTTAAAACTTGCGATAAATACGTCTGCTTATGATGTTTGCTTTTTTGTTTCGGCAAAGGAGAAATGTCAGTATTTTTTGTCGTCACGACCCCTCGTAATGGCCAGCATCTGCATTTCTCAGATATTTTACGAGTAGTGGTGGCCGCAGCTTTGACTGCTGATGTTATAAACAGGTATGACCGTAAGCCCACCGTGCTAGGATTCCTAGACACCCGGAGAAGGTTTTCTATTTCAATGTTATACCAGTTTTTAAGGGATTTAAAGAAACTGACGTCCTGGGGTTGAATCTTAATTGTTGGATGGGGTGGAAATGGTAGCATAATGACATTCTCTCTTGCGAGATTAATTTCCGCCAAGTTTTTCGTATGCGAACCATGGACATCCAAAAGTAGTAGGTGCAAGTTGTCTTTGGAAGATTGTGTACACTTGATGAAGTGTGTAAGCCATTCATCAAACACATCTTTATCGATCCAGCAAGACGATGTGCAAGAGTTGGAAGTTCCCTCTGGGGCGCCGACTTTGAGTTTATCAGTCATACGCTTTCGTTTGAAATAAAGGGATACCAGTGGTATTCGAACTTGACGTTTGCCTTTTGTTGAAACCACCTTCGATGGAGTTTGGACGGTTGAGTGGGCGGTTTCATCCATATTGTATTTTTCAACTATTGCATGATATTTTTTTTAAAACCTTTATTTCGACTCTGTACAACATACAATCAATATACAATGTAGATAACTTATAGAAACAAAAATTTAATACGGTAGTTCTTCGCTGGCCATCTAAGTTAGAGGTGGCCCTCCAACCGAAATGTAGAACGAAGTCACATAATCACTGGACAGTCTCCAAAGAACATCTGAATAAAATAAAACAAAAAACATCAAGGAAATTTATATTACAAAATATAGGTAGAAATATTACAGTTTATCATTTTCTTGGTACAACTTTTTTATTGTGACTCCCATAATGGTGCTACTTCTTTACATTGTAAAATTAAGTGTTCATATGTTTCATCCAACATTTCACAGAAAGTACATAGTTTTATCTTAGATATTTTCATCTTAAATAGACGTCAGTAATATTCAATATTCTTAATAAAATTTTATATTGCATTTCGACTATTTTTGGAATATGTATTGTTAATTTGGCTATATCATATAATTCATTCCAATTGAAAATAGAATTAGGATAGATTTCTTGCCATTTCAATTCATTTTTTTGATAATAGTATCCTTATTTGGTAATATATCATATATATGGCGACTACTCATATTACCAAAGAGAGCAGTGTAGTATATCGGTTGAACTTGCCCTACTTGTTTTGAAATTTGATTTTTGTCAGAATATAAAAAAAACTTTACGTCTTAATCTCTCATAATCTAGATATGTGCTTTTTTTAATTTATATAATTTTCTTAGTTCATCGGAAAGATAAAGATCACCCTTTATATCCCGTTGACGATCAGAGTCAAATCGTAAACCTTTATCATACCATTCCTTTATAAATAAGTCGCTTGGGATTGTATACCATGATGAATTTGTCTTTGACACCATTTGTTCATTGTTGACATTATTACAAAATAAAGTCCATGAATTAAACACATCTTTCCACAAAGGGTTTTCAATGTTAAGGGTTTTTAAATAGTATGGACCACAAGAAAATAACTTTTCATAAATTTTGGGGTGTTGTTTGTTATATATCTATATTTATCATAGTTCTCCCATAGACGTCTGATCCAAGCAATTTTTTGTGAATGATTAAAGGTCCTGATATCTGGTGCTCTTAATCCTCCATAATCATAATTAAGTTTTAGTCTATCACGTTTTATTTTGTCTGGTTTGTTTTTCCAAATAAATTTATAAAATAGTCCTTCAATGTCTTTAAATATTGATTCAGTAGGATTAGGTACTCATAATTGGTTGAGCACTCGAAGTGTTAAGACTAATTATCTGCTCCACTAATTAGTGTCATTATTGTCACTTACAAGTGTTGAATTACTAATCGATATTAGGATAGCTGCTTTTTGCTGGACTTAAAAGTGTTTAGTTATTTGTGAATTGTGATTTGTGACCTGAATTTATTAATTCATCTTGCATATTTTTGTGGTTGCTGATTTCTTTGGATTTAAGTGATTACTTCTAACTATTTGGATAGCCGCTTTGTGTTGGATTATTCCTAGTGTTTTAGTGAATTGGTCTTTTGTGAATTATTCACAACTCTGATTTCTTTGAAATCATACTATCTTGGTCGTTAGATCCGCCCGGATCAAAGTAAGATTATACTGAATTCTACTCTCTAGTCAGTCATAATACTTAATTACCGTTTCTATTTACTCTAGTCGGTAAAATGGAAAGCCCAAAAGCTGATGCTCGTACTATGGCGGAAGTGTTTAAGAGTACTCCAACTCCAAAAACCTTCCCCAAAGCCACGCCAGACAAGCCCTATGATCATGTAGTTCTTGTCAGACCCGAGGAGGATCTTACATTCAAAGGATGTAAGGCAACAGCAATCGGTCGGGAAATTAGATCTTGGGGAATTGCCGGATTCCCAATGGTCAAGATCTTAGGCAATTGATCGGTTCGCTTAGCTTTCCAGGCGAGGGAAAGCGCGGACATCGCACTAACTAAGGACAGCCTACTCGGTAGAAAGTCGAGGATGGGGTTACCGCAATCGGTCAGCTCAGACCGATGCGTTGTGTATCGGATACCATCTGCTTACTCTGAGGAGGAATTGTTAGAAGACCTTCATGAGGGAGTATAACGTATCTAGTGTACGGCGATTCAAAGTTAAGGAAGGAGCCGAAGACGGAACGGTAGTAATATCGTTCCCGAAAGGGCAAATTCCAAGACAGATCGGAATCGTCTACCTGATCCGGAATACCTACCCCTACGTGGACGGGGTCCGCCGCTGCTACAAATGCCAAAATTTTGGTCATCTTGGCAAACACTGCCGAGGGACACCAAAATGCGGCAAATGTGGAGGCGCGCATTCCACGGAGGCATGCAAGGCACCGGATTCAAAGTGTGCCACCTGTAATGGTAGGCACATGGCAGGTGACCCAACTTGTCCTAAGTTGAAGAAGGTCAAACATACACTAAAGGTAAAAGCTAAGATGGCCATATCCTTCAAAGAGGCAACAGCTCTTGTGAAAATACGGGAAGGCTTTGAGGCAACGAAACCACAGAAGAAAGATCTTTCTTCTAAGGTTGAGAAGCCAAAAAAGTCAAATCCAGTATTGGAAACAAGCGTCCCCCAATAGTGTCTAAGGGGTGTGGTTTCACACCAGTGTTCCTGGATGCGGAGAGTTTTCTAAATTTGATGCTGGACGTTGCAGAAATTGCTGCAACAGCTGCCAACTCCGACGAAGGCTATGATAGGCACAGGGTTGGCTCGAAGATCATTCAGGCCGTCAAAAACTCTGTTGAGAACTTTAAGGAGCTCTCCATCCCAGTCAGTAACCAAACGGACGTTTCCCGAAAAAGGAAAAAGGGAGCACGAGGAAGTCCTGAATCGTCTCCTGAGACCTTGACCCACGACACAACTAACAGCAGATCAGCTGTCAACTACGTCAGAACGGTCAATAGAGGTCGCATCCTTTCGATGCCATCAACTCCAAATTCAAGTAGGACTGGTGCGCATCTAAAGCCGAAAAATTCAAACACAACGGCTTATGACTCAGAGTCCAACCCAGAAGTGAGCGAAGGAGAGGAGGAGGTATTGGAAGAGAATGTTCGATCTGAGCACTCCAACTCTAATACTTGCTTAACCCCTGGGCACGACTGGCAGGACGAATAAAAAAAGCCTCGAACGGAACAGGATTAGACTCGTATCTTTAGTACTGTCGCAATGGATCGCAGTCTCAAAATCCTGCAGCATAACCTGAATGGCCTTCGGGCCAGGCTCACTGAACTGATTAAATTTCTAAGTACCACAAGGTACGACGTTCTCTGCTTCCAAGAAACCAAGCTCTATCCTGGAGTTAAAGATACAATATTGCCCGGATATCGTTTATCTCGACTGGATAGGCCTGGTGCCCATAGCAAATGTTTCGGTGGAGGACTCGCAATCTATGTCAGGACGAACTATCATTTCAAACACTAGTCCTGCACAGTACGGAGTTCGAAGTCAACGGAGTGTCCCTCTCGCTTGCCGATGGAAGCAAAATTGCAATAGTCAATGTTTATCTGCCGCCTGGTAAGAATGTCATTGAACCAAGCTCGTATCGAAACCTCTGCGAACAGATATCACACCGGAACGTCCTGTTCTGTGGTGATTTCAATTCTAAACACAACGCATGGGGATCGTACAAGCAAGACGAGCGAGGAGAGGGGTTACTCCAATTCATTGAGGATAACGACATGTGCATACTTAACGATGGGAGGCCTACTTTGATTCATAACTCTTCTGGGGTGATGTCTCATCTAGACCTTACTATCGCAACATCTAATATAGCTTCAAACTGTGAGTGGCAGGTCAGTTCGACTGAAACGCTGGGAAGTGATCATCTATTAATAGATATCACTTACAGGGGTCAAATAAAGACGGAAGGTACCGTTGGAAAACCAAAATGGCGAATCGCAAAGGCAGATTGGATTAAATTTACTGAAAACTGCTCGCAGTGGGACGTAAAGGATATACAGGGCGCCGATGTTGATGTCTACGCCAACAATGTCACCATGGTCCTCATGGAGGCAGCCAAGGACGCTATCCCTAGAACCTCTGGTAAAAACAGGGCTTGTCCTAAGCCCTGGTGGTCGGACGCCTGCCAAAATGCAGTAAAAGAAAGCACTACGTCGTGTTCAACACAACCTCAACACCGAAACAAAACGGGCATACTTGGAAGCCACAGAGAACGCCAGGAAAGTCATCAGTGAGGCTCGCACCAGTCACTGGCATGACTTCTGTCAAACGCTAAACCAGCATACCCAGATCAGGGATGTCTGGGCCAAAATCAAATCGATGAATGGCACTAAATCTACCCGCGAAATCCCCGTAGTAACCTATGGTGACAGAGTAGGAGAGAGCGATAGACAGAAGGCAGACCTTATGGCTGAGAGCTTTGTTGACGCGAGTAGTGATAAACACCACTCCCCCGAATTCATGAATCGAAAAACTAACTTCGCAGTGGACCATTCCAATGTGTTGACGCACATAGATGAAAACGATCCACTGAATCTCCCTTTCACGTCTGATGAACTTCAGAAAGCTCTCTCGTCTAAAAAAAGACAGTGCAGCTGGGGAGGATGAAGTCAAGTACTCGATGTTGAAGAAATTGCCCCCCGAAGCTTCGAAAATCCTACTGGATTTCTTTAACGAATCTTGGACCTATGGCCACGTACCGACAAATGGAAGACGGCATCCATTATACCTATCCTAAAGGCAGGGAAAGATCCCAATAAAACGGAGTCTTACAGACCCGTCAGCCTGACATCCACGTTATGCAAAATCCTCGAAACGATGGTAACACATCGTCTTCGGTATTAGTTAGAAAGTAATAATCTTCTAGACAAGAATCAAAGTGGGTTCCGAAAGCTCAGATCTACGGCGGATCACATAGTTAGGCTACAACACGCATTGTCTAAGACATTGAACAGTTCTGGGTTCCTCTGTGCAGTGTTCGTAGACCTAACGAAAGCTTTCGATCTTGTCTGGACAGATGGATTGATGCACAAGCTGCGCCAACTAGGAATAGGTGGTCGTATGCACAACTGGATAGCAAGTTTTCTTGCGGACAGGAAGATACGTGTAACCATAGGAAAGAGTCTCAGCGAAGAATTCAGTTTGGAAAATGGCACGCCCCAAGGCTCGGTTATTAGCCCCACTTTGTTTAGCATAATGGTCAATGATTTCCGCAACCCCAAATACTTGTCAAACAAATGTCAGATCGCGATGTTTGCTGACGACAGCACTTTTTGGGGGAATGGTACGTTATATACGAACCTCCAAATGCGGATCCAAACATGTTTGGATCGCTTTGCAAAGTGGGCAAATGACTGGGGATTCAGAATATCCAAAGCCAAAACGGTAGGAATGTTGGTCTGTAAAGACCCCCAGTTGACCGACATGCGACTAGTATTGGACGGCGAACGTATTCAATTCGTTAGTGAAACCAAGCTACTTTGTGTAACCTTCGATAGAAAACTCTCATGGGAACCTCACATTAAAAACATCACAAACAGATGCCAACTTGTGCTGAACTTAATGAGGAATATATCTGGCAATGAATGAGGCGCCAATGTGGTGACACACATGATGATCTATCGTGCGCTGATCCGGCCCATCTTGGACTACGGTTCACAGGCATTCATGACCGCCAGACCAATGCTCCTTCATAAGTTAGATGTCATACAGCAAAAAGCCCTCCGACTAGCCACCGGAGCAGGCATCGGCATAAAAACGGAGTCATTACTCCAAGATGTTGGTGAGGTTCCTCTACAAATCCGCAGAGAGGAGTTAGCCCTTAGATACTGGTCAAAGTTGAAACACCTTGGAGGATCATCTCCTACCTACCTCGAGACCGCGAGGTTCAGGCACGCCAAGAAAATGATAAGCTTCAGACAGTCAGTTCGGGATTCCGTTCGGAAATATGGGCTAGATAGATTGCCCATAAAGCCTCTTGTATTTTCCCAAGTTGCTCCTTGGACGGTTTCGCCCCCCATTGTCGACACCTCTCTCGCCTCGAGATTGGATAAGAAACGGGACGATCCTTGCATCGCTCGAATGATCGCCTTAACTCATATGGATGCAAGGTGGTCGGAAAGCATACGTATCTATACTGATGGTTCACATAACCCGGATGATGTTACAACGGGATTGGGGATCTACGTCCCCTCGAGCAGCACAAGAATTAGCAAGCGATTGCCCAATAACTGCTCAGTGTACACTTCAGAGATGCTTGCAATCCTCTACGCAGTGAAATATTCCGCGGGCCACTATCATTCAAATTATGTAGTACTAAGCGACTCGCTAAGTAGCCTGACATCGATACTCAACGATTCCTCTAATTCCCAAGCGGAGCTAGTGGATGAAATCAGGCAAGCGTGCTCACTTGTACATAGTCAAGGCAAATCAATCGAGTTGGCATGGATCCCGTCTCATGTCGGCATACAAGGGAACGAAATTGCAGATGAACTCGCAAGAATAGGACTAGGACTATCGGAGATTGACCGGATAGACTACAGTTTATCGGAAATAAGAAGCATGATCACAAAAAGCATCAAATCGACATGGGAGGCAACTCTCATAGATGCTAATGCATTCCGCTTCCGATTAAACGATAGCATTAGCAGTAAAGTGTTTTTACACCACCCCAATCGACAGATCTGTCGAACGGTCGCCCGTCTGAGAATGATGGGTGAGGTACGAAATCACAAATACGAACTAAAGCTATGTCCCTGTGGTGAAGCTGGCACCGCAGAACATCTGTTAATCCATTGTGAGCAACTAAGGGAATTAAGAAAATCGCTGGTCGAGATAATGAAAAAGATATAGGCTGGCACCTTGAAGAATATTCTGTCCCATACGGGAGAGGGTATGTCAACAATCTGTGTGACAGTCTATAATTTTCTTAGTGAGTCACGAATGATCACATAAAGTAGCACATCAGAAGAGCGCCCCGCTCCTCTGTAGGTGTGGCGATCATTGGGGACTTAGTTCTCGATAGATCGCCAAGAAAGAAGAAGAACGCAGTATCAAGACTACAGAAGAAGAACCAGAAGAAACCATGGGAGCAACCCGCTCCCTACTCAACGTCTGCGATATGGAATTTCTCCGAAGCGGACACCATCCACCAACAAGAAGAAGATTAGGTAGTGATTGTAGAAGGTGAATAAATTTAGGACAAATCAATGATTTAATAACACAAACCCTACCTATTAGTGTCAGTGGTCGCCATGACCACAATGCCAATAGCTGTTTTGCATTTTTAATCTATTCATAATAATTTGTTTCAATCATATTCCCTAAATTTGTAATAAAAATTCAGTTTCTGTGTAGAATACATCAACCCAGCGTTTTATAGATTGATCAAAATTAAAAAAGTTTAATGCTTTTTGCATGAAATCCCAATTTATAGTGTCAAAGGCATTCTCAAAATCGATTATTAGTAGAGACCTGGTATTTTTTGTTTTGCCGTTTCAAAAAGGATATCGTAAATCAATTTTGTGTTTTCTCCTATATGACGACTAGATATAAATCCAGTTTGGTCAGTTGAAATGATAAATGATAAAACTGATTTAATTCTCTCTGCTATACATATGCAGGTGTTACTTTGTATGGTGTATTTAATAGTGATTATTCGCCAGTTTTTCAGAAACAGGCGTGATTTTTCTGGTTTTCGGATACATGTTATAACACCTTTGAGTTTCATAACCAAAATTGATTAAATTAAGCAAGAAGAGCCCAATTTCATTGAAGAAGAATCTAAAAAACTCTACAGTGTAACTGTCAAGACCTGGCGATTTATTCAGTTTCATTTTCGACAGACATTTTTTTAATTCTAATAACGTTATTTTACCTTCAATTCTATTTTTTTCTTCATTTGTGAGCTTTTGATATTTTGACGATTTCCATGTTTCACTTTTATTGCATAATATTTATCAAAGAACTCATACACATTATTTCTGTTGAATCCCTTGGTACGGTTTTGTGTCCTCGCCTCGGGCGAACGGAGAGTTAGCTTTGGATGTCGGTTCATGAAGGCATAGTACCACTTCTTCCATGAGGACTTTTTCTCCTTGCTAAATCGGTCAGCCACACCGTTGGCTACGGCCAGATCATATGCAAGATTGATCAAATCGTTGATAGTTAAGCCAAAAAGCATAACGTCGAGATCTTTGATATGTTTGGCTAATTCATCTTCTGTTTTGGTAGTACTGGTGGTGCACCTTTAGCCCTATGTCTACGGATAGTATGTTTAGGTTTACCATACTTTCGTGACGCTGCATTAAAGCTGATGCTGTTGGTTTTTGATTCTGCAAGGCAGTGGGTGAGATCTTCGGTAGTCCAATTTGAAGCTGTGGGTGGTTTCCTGAAAAACGAAAAAGAAAATACATGTAGTCAATATACTGTTAAGGATGTCAAATGCTTACTAGGCCTACAAGATTGAAGGGAAATTAGCCTTCTCTACATATCAAAATGGCGGCTAAAATTCAAATTAGATTACCAGTTTAATTTTACGCAGTTGCCGATGTCGTACCACCAGTTGCCGAAGTCGTGCCACTGGTACGATATAGGCAACCCCAACACGTCGAACAGAAAACCGAAATCGAAGGTAAAACCTTCATTTATTTTTTCAAATAACATAATCATTCTACGTAATACTTATAATGCCTTGATGTTCCAAACAGAAATTACCGAGCTGTCACTTTAAATTTGAAATCCGATATTCTGTACTTACTAGAACAAAATGTTTTTTTGTATATATTGTATACGTTAGTATTTTGACATTTGTTTCTCGTGTATATAACAAACTTTCTTCAACAAAATTTGCATTAATCTTTTAATCTAACCAAGTAAATTTAATTGCCATTATTTATGTTTTTCTTTCATGTAAATTATACTCCGAGATAATCCATCCATTTAAATTACTACTCGGGTATAATCAAAATTCAAAGTTAGTTCTAATCAATTTACAATTCACTAATCCCGCTTATTTTATCAAATATTTCTCATATTTATTTATTTCATATTTTTGTATTCTTGATTTCTGATTATTTATGTTTTTCATTTATGTAAATTGTACTCTGAGATAATCTAATCCTCCTGAATTATTACTCAGATATAATCAAAATCTACTCCAATATAATCTTCTATAATCCTCAACTGATCAAAGATATGACTCAACTAATTAAGAAATCAAAAATAATCCTAATCCTCAGCTGATCAAAGATATGACATGATTCACTCAATAATTTTTAGAAAATCAAAAACCTGTATTAACTGACTACTATATAAATCCCAAATTCAACCTCATTACATAACCATTCCTCGACACTGAAAAAGGATAATATTTCGAAAACCGGTTCGTGTCAATTGCGTAACCAAACCAAGGACAAATCATTATGGAAGCTACCTGCTCTAAAGAAATCTACCTTAATAATTGGATCATCTAGCCTGAATCGAAATACCAACCAGTTCAGACACTGAAATACATTCTTACCCCGGTGCCCAAATCCATCACATACAGTCAATCCTGGAATCATACGACCATGATCCCAAACCTACTACCAGTAATCTTCATGTAGGCCTCAACAACCGTGATCAGCTACCAAAGACCTCCTTTGACCAAGCCCACAAATTAATCGCCACAGCCAACAAAACCTTCCCAAACTCCAATATCCTCTTCACATGTATACCCATTTCAAATAAAATCTCGAAGAAAGCACAACAGAACCTCCTTACTCTCAACAACATGATTATGGAGTCCAGTATCAACAGCGCAACAACCACCCTACGAAGAAGAATTCGAACCAGTTGATAATCTTCATTGGTCTCCAGAAACAGCAAACAGCATTTATTTGTTTTGGATACACCAGCTTCAAGCATCGAGTAAGTCTTTAAACTAATTACTGGGGATATAAATACTGAGAGGTCACCGCTAGGCCAAACTGTAGTTAACTTGAGCCGCAAAATTCTCAAACCCCTTCAGCATTCAATCTTAGACCGTGGACTTAAATTTATTTCCACACCAAAGATAGCTGACTTGAATTATCTCCGACCATCCATTGAACGATTTCAACGAAATCTTAGCTGCACACATTTTTTTCGAAACCTCCCCCACGTGGTGCTAGAACAATGTTTATTCCCAAATCCACGTGGACACCGCCATCCATCCTGAAAGCATTTGCTAGTATGAATAGCCAAACAGTGAACCTTTCCATAACACACGAAAAGCCCAATCTCACACGAGTGGAACGTGAAGCGTTAAACTTACTTAAGAAAGACGATAGCATTGTTATTAAAAAGAGTGACAAAGGTTCATGTTGTGTCATTCTGAATAGGGAGGATTACGTTTCAGAAGCAGAGAATCAACTGAATAATCCTAAACATTATGCCATTTTACCGAAACCAATTTTCAAAGAAACTGCTAACATGATTAATAATATTCTTGCCGATTTAGTCAAAACTAGTTATATCAAACAGAAACAATATGATTATCTGTCTGCCAAACCTGATTGTCGCGAGAGACACTTGTACACTTTGCCTAAAATCCATAAGAATCCAACCAAGGAGTGGTTTATCTCGAATAAAAACCCGATTATATCTGACTGTGGTAGTGAGTCATATGCAGTGTCAGAATACATTGATCATTTCTTACTACCTCTAGCATGTCAACATCGCGCCTACCTTAAAGACACAACCGATTTTGTCAATAAAATAAAAAATCTTCGAGTTCCCTCTAATGCTATTTTAATTTCTATCGACGTTTCTTCTATGTATACCAATATCGATAACACTACTGGTCTAACGACAGTTCGTAAAGCTTTTACTAGAAACCCAGATCCAAACAGACCCGACTATGCAATTCTACAGCTTTTAGAGATTTGTCTTAGTCGAAACGATTTCACATTTAATGGTAAAACATATTTACAAACTTCAGGGACAGCAATGGGCTAACGATTCGCCCCTTCGTACGCAAACCTTTTCATGGCAGAGTGATAACGTGAGGTGTTGCCCCTCTGTCCATTTGACCCACTTTTTTACGGACGCTTTTTGGATGACATTTTTATGGTTTGGACTTATTCTATCGAACAGTTTTGGGAATTCTTTGAAATTCTCAACAACCACCATCCTTCTATCAAACTAACCGCAAACGTGAGTGACAAAAGCATAGACTTTCTCAATACCACAGTCTTTAAGGGAGATTCCATAGCAGAAACAAATAAACTGGATATTAAAATGTATTTCAAAGAAACTGATACTCATCAACTCTTGCACAAGAGCTCCTTTCACCCAAAACATACCTTTTCTGGTGTAATTAAGTCACAAGTTTTACGATTTCATCGAATTTGTACAAGATCTTTGTTTTCTCAAAACTGAAAGAGCGTGGGTACTCTAAACGATTTGTACGAAACATAAAAAATTCCACCTTAGCACAGATAGAAGCTAAAAACAGACTTTATGCCGAAGTACCTCCAGGTTTAAGAAGTGCTCCATGTTTGTCCAGTAGATGCAAAACATGTCCCTTTATATCAGAAACTCATTATTTTGTAAGCAACTCTACGAATAAAATGTACCCGATCCAGGTATATCTAACATGTGAACATTCGAATGTAATATATTTAATTTCATGCAAGAAATGCCCCAAACAATATGTAGGAGAAACTAAGAATAATTTACGAACTCGCTTTAATGCTCATAGGTCAGACATCAAAGACAAGCCTGTTTCTAATCATTTCAACCTCGACGACCATTCAATAGACGACATCACCCTAATAATTGAGCGTATAGAAATTGACTTGCCCGAAGATGAAACTACCAAATTCCGTCAATCTAGGGAAGCCCATTGGATTGAGACATTGAATACAGCAAGACCTATAGGACTAAATTTTCATCATAATGTAGGCATAGCACCCTTTGTTGTCCAGTTTAATACAACCAGCAATCGAGCAAGCAAGATAGTTCATGCCCACTATAAGAGCCTTCAAGAGAAATTCCCCCATGTCTATAGGCAGAAAATGTTAGTCGCATATTCAAAAAATAAGAACTTAATGATAATATTGTTCATAGTAAACTAAAAACAATCGCCCATCGGGCGAGTTATATTTTCTTATTTCAGATCAGAATAAGAACAGAAGAAAACCCAATATCAAGACCCTTAATCCTAATTTCTAAATAAAGTGTCTGCTCCACCCTAGGCCTGTACATTTGGGAGAATTAAACCCTCCCTTCCCCGAAATCAAAAACACATTCTTTCAATTTTTACTTAATAAATAAAAGATCTCATAAATTTACACATGTACACCAAGATCAGTTTAATAAATGTGTCCACGATCAGAATTTTGACATGCTTTTTTGAGTAAAGTGCAGTAAGTAAACATTCTAACGAAAACATCTACCCATTGCCAATTGCAACGTCGACCGAGATACATACAAAGTTCCATTCATATCGATAAAAAAAAAGTTATTTATTAAAGTAATTGTTATCCATATTATTGTGTCTAGTAATTTATTATTGGGAATTCGTGGTAAAAGTTTTGAGCTGTTCAAAGTTTTTGCCATGAACTCTAGATTCAAAAATGTAGTTTATTCGTAACAAATTTTTAATGCATTCTTAGGCATCGTAACTGAATCGTCATTAATTCGTTAGCATTCGTAGTTATTCTTAGCTTATTCTGGAGCCAATAATACACCTGCACTTTGTTGGACGTCCATTTTAATGCCGATGTTCGAGCCTCGGTGGGGTCTTTTTATAGCTATCTTGAGAGCGCACTTCAAGAACTGTCAATAACAGTGAAGAATTAACTTTTATTCGTACATGCATTCCGAGTATTCTTATGCAAGCTTCACATTGTCCCGACATTGCCATCAGATGACCATACGACCTTTTTACTGTGACCAAATTACGGTGTGACCATATTACTGTGACCAAATTACGGTGTAACCTTATTACAGTGAACAAATTAGCGTGTGACCTTTTACTGTGACCAAATTAGAGCGCCTTAATTTCCATAGCCAAACCAGAGATATGTAACCTTACCAAACAAGAACGAACGTCCATTCAAGAATTGAGAAATAACAAGAATATCACCATCCTTCCAGCTGACAAAGGCAAGTCCACAGTGGTAATGAACAACGATGACTATGTAAAGACAGTAAACAACCTCCTCAAGAACACCTACCTATCGTCGA